GGTCAGAGGTTAGAGGGTAGAGGAAAAATCAGCGTGACTTTTTAATTTTAATTTTAATTTTTTAGAGAATCAGGTCTCACTCTTTTGCCCAGGCTAGAGTACGGTAGCATGATCATAGCTCACTGCAGCCTCGAACTCCTGGGCTCGGCGAACCTCCTCCCTCAGCGTCCCCAGTAACTGGAACTACACATGGGCGGCACCACGCCTAGCTAATTTTTAAAAATGTTTTTGTAGAGATAAGGTCTTGCTATGTTGCCTAAGCTGGTCTCGAACTCCTTGGCTCAAGTCATCCTCCTGCCTTGGCCTCCCAGAGTGCTGGGATTACAGGCATGAGCTGCCATACCTGGCTGGCTCCATCTCACCCTTTACCCACAGTTCTGCCCACGGTGTCTGGCTTATGTCTCCACTGCCTCACCAATGGCTTTCTTGAAGGTAATTTTTCACCTCCCAGTTGCATCTCTTGTAGCCTCGCCTCAGCTGACCCCTCTGGGTTTGATGCTACTAACTCCCTCCTACCGGAAGGTCGGGTCGCCTGCCCAATTTTCACCTTTGCCTGGGTTCTCCTGTTCAACTCTTTTCCCTTTCTTCTCTTCTCCTTTGTCTTGGCCTCCTCTTCCTGGAGGGCCAATCTCTCCTTTGATCTTCTCTTAGCCCCCGCTAACTTTTTTTTTTGAGTCGGGGTCTCCATCTTTTGCTGGAGTGCAGTAGGATTGTGACACAACACAGCCTAGACTTCCTGGTCTCAAATGATCCTCCTGTCTCAGCCTACTGAATAGCTAGGACTACAGGCATGTGCCATCACACCCAGCTAATTTGTTTTATTTTTTACAGAGTCAGGGTCTTGCTATGTTGCCTAGGCTGATCTCGGACCCACCTAAGCCTCCCAAAGTGCTAGGATTCCAGGCACGAGCCACTGTGCCCAGCCCACTCTTTAATTTACTCTTAGTCCAACTCTTCCATTTGAACAGAGATGAGTAAACTGTGGCCCTTAGGTCAAATGCCACTGCCCGTTTTTGTAAATAAAGTTTTATTGGCACGTGGCCACACTGGTTTGTTGACTCATCTGTGGTTGCGGGAAAGTGCCCTAATGGCAGGTTGAGTAGTTAAGACAGGAATTTCATGGCCTCAAAGGCCAAAACTATTTATGCTTTGGCTCTTTACAGAGAAAGTTTGCTGATCCCTGATCTGAAACGAACTTCTTGAGGGTTTATTTGTGATGTATACCTGATAGCTTGTGTGGTCTCTGGTACAACTTGAATTAATTGAGTTAAATGAAATGCTACATTTTTCATGTTGAAGAAATGTAAGGGGGGAGAACCCCGAAAAGTCCGGAATTTATTTATAAAAAATTGTGTCTTTATTCTTTTTTCTTTTTTGAGTTGGAGTCTCACTCTGTCATCCAGACTGGAGTGCAGTGGCCGCTCCTGGCCACCGCAGCCTCGACCTGCTGGGCTCCGGCGATCCTTCCGTCTCAGTCTTCCAAGTAAGTAGCCGAAACTACAGGTGCGCGCAACCACGCCCGGCTAGTTTTTTTTTTTAATTTATTGTAGAGGGGAGGTCTCGCCAAGTTGCCCAGGCAGGTCTTGAACCCGTGGGCTCAGGCAATCCACTCACCTCAGCCTCCCAAAGCGCTGGGATTACAGGCTGAGCCACCGAGCCCGGCAAGACTGCAAGTCTTACAGAATCACATGGTCCTTTGACTACTACTGATGATCAATAAATAAAACTTGACACCTTTTTAGAATGTTTTGCTTTCCTAGGTGTGCCAAATGTCACCTCACAAAGCTCAGGGGAGGAAAGATGCCCATTGAACGTGGAAGTGGCTATACTGAGGTCGAGTGACTTAGCTGTCTCCACAGACAGGTGGGTCTATCCTGTGATCTTTCCATGAGAGGAGTTTGGGAAGTTACATTTTTTTTTTTTTAAATCAGAGATCTTCTGATAAAAATAAATCACAGGCCAGGTATGGTGACTCATACCTATAATTCCAGCACTTTGGGAGGCCGAGGTGAGAGGACTACCTGAGCCCACAGAGACCAGTCTGGGCAACTTGGCAAGACATCATCTCTACAAGAAAACAAAAAATTAGCCAGGTGTGGTGCCATGTGCCTATAATTTCAGTTATTTGGAAGGCTGAGGCAGAAGGATCGCCTGAGCCCAGTAGGTCGAGGCTATGGTGGCCATGAGTGTGCCACTGCACTCCAGCCTGGGCGATAGAGTGAGGTTCTGACTAAAAAATAAATGTTATCTTTTTTTCTTTTTTGAGTTGGAGTCTCACTCTGTCATCCAGACTGGAGTGCAATGGCCGCTCCCGGCCACTGCAGCCTCCACCTGCTGGGCTCCAGCGATCCTTCTGCCTCAGCCTTCCAAGTAGCCGGAATTACAGGCATGCACTACCACACCCGGCTGATTTTTTGATTTATTGTAGAGATGAGGTCTTGCTGCCCAGGCAGGTCTCGAACCCGCGGGCTCAGGCAATCCACTCACCTCAGCCTCCCAAAGGCGGGGGATTACAGGCTGAGCCACCGAGCCTGGCTGTGTCTTTATTCTTACATGTTTAAACTTCAGCCACCTTCAAAGTGCTCTCCGTTTGATGCACTACACCTATCGAGATGCTTTTTCCACTGCTCAAAACAGTTTTCAAACTCGTCAGTTTTGATACCTTTTAGTGATGCCATTTTTTTTGTTTCACCTATTTCACACTGGCAAAATGTTTCCCTTTGAGGACTTTTTTTCATCAGGGAAACAAAGAAAGTTGCTTGGGGTGAGATTGAGTGAATAGGGAGGGTGGGGCATGTGGAGTCATGCTGGTTTTGGTCAAAAACTACTGAACAGTCAGTGTGGTGTGGGCAGGTGTGCTTATAAACTACCCATCATGAAATGGGCAAATGTGTTGAAAGAATCTCCAAAAAAAAATTCCCTGAAGCTGAATCCAACCTCTCACAACAACGCTAGCTGGTCCACAGATGCTGACGGGTTCCTAGAACACTTACCTAGTAGGGAAAGCCTGTGCTACGAGGGACCCACCCTCCTAAAGATAATTCTGCATTTTTTTTTTGTCTCTCCTCATGTACCATTTGCTGCATTGAATATGTGAATTTCCAGGGTGAGAAAATAGCAGTGCTGTTCCCTCCTGAGGTGTGTGTAGGACCTTAGGATTTATTGATTTTAAATAGCCCCATATAAGCATGGAATGAGGACTCTGTACCATCAGTGCTGCCTCTAGGACCCAAAAGGAGGTGGTGTATGCTAGGTCTTTTTCTCATTTCTTGTGCTTATTTCTTTTCAGAATATTTCAGTTGGTTGCGGTGACTCATGCCTGCAATTCCAGCACTTTGAGAGGCTGAGGCAAAGGGATTGCTTGAACCCATAGGATAGAGACCCGCCTGGGCAACTTGGCGAGACCTCATCTCTACAATAAATCAAAAAATTAACCGGGCATGGTGGTGCACGCCTGTGGTTCCAGCTACTTGGAAGGCTGAGGCGGAAGGATTGCCTGAGCCCAGCAGGTCGAGGCTACGGTGGCTGCGATTGTGCCATTGCACTCCAGCCTGGGTGACAGTGAGATTCCGACTCAAAAAAAAAAGAGTATTTCCAGGGGTGGTTTGGTTTATATTTTGCAATTGGACCTCATTTATGGTTTTTTAATTAAAATAATGACAAGTAATATGTTCCCATTGCAAAAATTTTTACAAAAGTATAGAGAGGAAAAACCCAAGTTTCTCCTTCATAACTTTGCCCTTATATCAGGTGTGGTGGATTATGCCTGTCAGCCCAGCAATTTGGGAGGCTGAGGCAGGAGGATTGCCTGAGTCCCAGAGTTTGAGACCAGCATGGGCAATACAGTGAGACCTCGTCTCTGCAACAAACAAACAAACAAACAAACAAATCACAAAATTATCCAGGTATGGTGGCACGTGCCTGTAGTCCCATCTACTCAGGAGGCTGAGGTAGAAGGATCACCTGAGTCTAGCAGGTCGAGGCTGCAGTAGCCCTAAGCCTGGGCAACAGAGTGAGACTCTGACTTAAAAATCAACAAATAAAATAGGAATAAAACCCCTGTTCTTGTTGCGGTATATTTGGTGTCATTTTTTTTTTTTTTTTT